TCTCTCTCTCTCTCTCTCTCTCTCTCTCTCTCTCTCTCTCTCTCTCTCTCTCTCTCTCTCTCTCTCTCTCTCTCTCTCTCTCTCTCGTGCGTGCGAAAGAGAAAGAGAGAGAGGGCGCCCACGAGCTCAAAAGTATACTTCATCGTGAGTGAGTGTATCTAACCTTGTCCATCAGATGTATACAAGAACAAAAGTAGCCTTCATAGTGAGAGAGTGACTATATCTGACCTTGTCCGTCATATATATACATTAAAGCTCAAAAGTAGCCTGCATCGTCATTGAGGTATCTGACCTTGTCCGTCAGATGTGTACGTTCGAGCTCAGGAGTACCCTTCATCGTGAGTGAGTGTATTTGACCTTCTACTTTCAATGTATACATTCGAGCTCATAGGTAGCTATACACTCAAGCTTAGTATTTATTTTTTTCCTATAAAACAAAAAATCTCGATTATTTCCGATGAGACTCCCCATGAGAGGCGAGGAATAATTGATTGCATGTCAACAACGTAGTCGGTGTTCGGGTTCGGCAGAACCCCCGAACCCAAACACCCGTTTAGGACCCCCCCCCCCCCAACACGTTCGGCCCCAACGTGACTTTTTTTTTCAAGGGGTTGTATTGCGGAGGGGGGGTTCTTCATACTACAAATTTTTTATTTAATTAATAAAAAAAACAAAATGTGCAAGAAGGCAGTTCACCTACGAAAAGGCAAAAACCCATCCTGCCATGTGTATGTGTACGTGTGTGTGCGTGCGTGTGTGTGTGTATGTGTCCTCGCCGGGGGTAGGCAAACCCTTGACAACCAATCAATCTTTCAAGAGAGAGAGAGAGAAAAGTCGAAAAAAAACAAGCGCCAAATGCGCGAGTGTATGTATGTGTGTATGTCGGTGTGTATTGTCATATTCGCTATACACTAAAAAAAAACATGACAGACTGTTTCCTCGAACGTTCACTGATTCATCAAGAGGTTGAAACCATGTGTGTGTGTGTGTGTGTGTGTGTGTGTGTGTGTGTGTTTGCATGTATATGTGTGTTTGTGCGAGCGTGGGGGTGGCGACCCCCCTCCGACATATCAATCAATCAATCAACATAGAAAAAAATTCGAAAAAATAAAATAAAAAACAGAAGATTGATTGATTGATCGATTGAATGGTTAATTGGTTGATTGATTGGTTAGGGGAGGGGGGCTTACCGGGGGCGAGTGACCCCACCCCAACCAATCAATCAATCAATAAACTAATAAAAATGTATGGAAAAAATAAAAAACAAAAGGACAAAATCAGAAAGGGGGAAGGAAGAGGGGGGTTCGAAAGTTTTTTGACCCCCCTATTTTTATTTTTTTTCACTCAAGAGATTAACATAAAATTTTAGAGATGGGCTTGTTACATTGTACTTTATCTAAAAAAAAAAAGTCAATAGGCCCCGATACAAGGTTTGGCGGGTCCTGAACCACAATACGAATGAGGCCCAAACCCCAGTCCGAACCTGTGAACGTCTATAGGGTCCGGGAGGGTCCAGCCTCCTCCCAACGTTTGGGCGGCAACCTTGCCTATCAACATTTTTTTTTTTTTTTTCCCTTCATAAGTGTCTTCCTTCAAGTTTGTATTATGTCTCATGGCGCAAGGTCCAACAATTATGTTTTACAAAGGCCGGTATAGGTACTGCCCTTTTTTTTCCACGTGGTGGTCCCCGTCACTTTCACTGGCAGACTCAACAAAACTTGGCGCACATAACATTTTTAGGCTTTGCAGCAATAACTGCACGAAATACTGATGGTTTAAACTGGTATTATAATATGTCATAATAAAAATCGAGGAGAGAGGAGTGTCTCCTGGTCAATATATACTGTGCAGGATTACTTTTTACCTTTTATTTATATATAGTATATAGATTGCTTTCTATCTTTTTGCCTCTAAACAACTATCACTATTTTTTAGATTCTGCCTTCCTTTTCCATTGACTTCATTGGTTGCTTTAATTTCGTGTTTTGTTTTCTATAGTTGTAAGAGTTTTACATTCTTATGACTTTATTGTAATTTTTCCTTTCGGATTGTTAAACTTAGTGCTTTATGGATTGGTTTTATTTCCCAAAGTGGTTTAAAAATTGTCATTTTGTGCACAAAAAATTGTTTCTCGGACTTTGCACCGAAGTTGGGTAATGACCCCGATATTTTCTTTGTTATTTGTTAAGGAGTTTATAACCTCCTCCTTTTTTTAGATTAAGTAACTGAATGTATGTGTGCCTATAAAAAAAAAGGTAAAAAAAAAAAACCTGAAAAAACCTCAAGCGCACAATTCTAACTCCCCAGGTGACTGTGACGGACCCGCCGGGATGGCGGTCCGTCAGGATCAAGACGAAGGGATGAGGATGGGGGAGATGGAGATGGAGCTGGAAGGGACAGCGCAGCTCCAACGTAGACTCAACACGCACGTACTCCAATCTGTGCAAATGAAGAATGCCACAAAACAGACTGCAGCTGGGGTATACCCCCAGCGGACTGACTGGACTTGACTGGACTGGCCTGGTACCGACAGTGGTACCGGGCAGGACTGGACTGGACTGAATAACCGCACGGCCTGTGGGGTCAGGCCACGGCCTGGTCCCACAGGCCAGACTGACAAATAGCCAAATAGGCCCTGGCTGTGGGTCAGGGCAGATGAAGGCCCGCTGCACGATCCTCAGACCTGTAATGGATCGCAAGAGCCATAAACACGCTATCCGCAAAAGCAGCGGAACTCTGCAATAAAGAAAGCTGAGAAATCTAGGATGCGGAGCAAGCTCCATGCAGAGTCCATGCGATGCATCCTAGGCTATATAATGTCAAAAGAAAAACAAATGTCTAGTATACATATCCTAGCTAACAGCAGAAAATGAAATGTAGTATGATACACTCCTAAAGTCCTGGAGGCAGTGGTCTCAGTGCTGAAAGGAGAAGAGCAATATGTCACAAGATAATGTCATGTCGCTGAACCACTAAAAGTGGGATGGTCTCAGAGGGGGTGAATGCAGCCTAAGAATCGAAACTCCTAAGGGCAGTCACACATGAAGGTGGGATAGGTCATCAGGCTCAAGGTGGGGGAGTGGTAGCGAA